AAAGCATTCCCTAAATCCGCTACCCATCAGGTATAGGCACGGCCAGCTTATAACTTGATATGGAGGTCCCGGGGAGATTTTACATTACACTTGTAGAGGCTGTCGTTAATCCCTTGCGAGGGGCGTGTATTAATTGAGGTACCAAACTTACGAAGGCATATGTCATTTTGTTAATCCGACCATTGCTAAGTGGTGGTGCCTCTCTGATTCCTTATCTTCTAGATATTGCGTTATTAAGCTCTCATACAGGTATTTCGTTGTGTTTATTGTGGGGTAATAATGGTTTTTCTTGAAAGATTGGCTATTATGTCGAACAACGATGGCCTAAACCAGATCGCGCAGCAAAATGAGAGGACTTTAGTGCCTGTGCATGAAGTAAGTATTTCGTTTATTTGGTGTTATGATGAAAAATATGCGTACTCATTTTATAGGGGTGTTGTCAGTGCGGTGGGCAGCACTGGTATGAATACCAGATGAAACGGTTAACAGAGGCCGTCGGAATTGCGCAAGCCCAGGCGCAGGCTGAGGCTGCCTACAGTAGGCAGCTGCATTGTGAGGGCGAGATCTTGGAGATTGCATTCGAAGAGGCCGTAGACCGCATGTGTAAATTGAGGCAGCGTTTTGAGGTAATATAGTGTTATCTAATGCATATAATGATTGTGTTAAAGAAAAATGCTTTCAGGAAAACAATATCAAACAGAAGGAGATGCTAAGGGTAGGGCACGGCCTCTACCACGGGGTTGGCGCGGGGGTGGTTGGTTCCAGCACTAGCCTGTTTCACTAGCCTGCTTTCTAGCCTCTTCTAATGGCGGCCTGTATCCTGTACCAACATCTTGTCTCGTTTGGCAGTTCAATTTTTCTCGCAAATCTTTGCTGACCCATTATGTCCTCTACGTCCGCACATCTCTCATCAAATGCTTAACATCATACGGATCGGAACCTATTATGCGATAAGGTTACGGTATTGCATAGCCCAATGTATTGTTATACATGTGAACCCCCAAGCTACACCATCAGGTTACTGTAATGTGGTGTATATAGCCCAATGTGCTGTTATACATACATTTGTGTCATGTCTTCACTTCTTTATTGTAATGGAATAAAGTGTGCATTTACCCATATCCTTGTTGTACAGTAATATTCTCTGTCATGCCATTGGGGCCTTTCTTAAGCTCATTAAGGAAGCACGGGTGTGGTGCGATACAGGCGTCAATATAATGAGGTCATCGGACAAAACACGCTAAAACATCATGCCTACCATCATAACGGAAAATAAGAACTTATATGTAGAATAATTATTTGGTCCATCTCAACAGAAAGGTACTGAAACGATGCTGCGTGCGCGAAGAGCTCTAATGGGGTCTCGCGTGAATCGCGCGCCCCCCAGGAAGCACTGTTTAGATACACCTTTGAATACCGGCTTTTAGCTCGAAGTATTGCTTCCATGGTAGTTCCTTAGAAAGGGGAGGAGTAAAGCTAAGATATTATGAGTTTTCTTCTGGCTAAGTGGACCAAGGACTACCGACACTGGAAGAGGATTAGCTTCAACGTCCCCTCCCCTCCACTGCACTTTTGGGCCCGGACTAAGTGAACACCACCTACATTCACACTCATGCACGCATGCAAAAGAGTGTGAAATTAGTTGTATTAGCAAATGATTTCTTTCCCCCTCGACATTAGGTCTGAAGAATACAATAACGCGCTCCATACTTAAACGCCGCAACGCAGCCGCTCATCTATGGCGAAAGTATGTTCAGCATGTCCCGTAGGTGCATTCGATTGCGGTCTGCTGATTCATCCGTTTGCTGTCGGTCTCCAATGGGGAAGGCTCTGTGTGTGCTCTGGCGTATCGGTGTAGAGATGCAACGGCCCGCTTCTGTGATGGGAGAGTGCCAGAGACACCTACGTCGCACCTGGCTTTGGTCGCGTGCTGGTCATCGACCCGGCTGGTTGTCCGTCGTGATTGATGGGAAATCCCCGTGATGGTTCTTATGAACGTTCAGTCCGTAACAAAAAACGATACGTATCTGTACACGATCGTGGATCATTACATGACAAGCATTCATTGCCATCTTCACGAAGGTAAGTTTTGTTTTTATTTATCGGGATTATATCGGGATTGCAGCCAAGTGTATGACTTTTGAATGACTTGTCACAAGCATACCAGAGGCGATACTATTCAGTTGGTGTAAGAAGAAATCCACCAAAAATACTGTAACTTTTAAATGTGCAACAAAAGCCTCTTCGTGTCATTCATGTGGCTGCAGTGGTTGCTCTAGTTTTCTATAAAAGTTGTTACTCCCAAAAATAGAAAAAAAGTATTTTTCAGCAATTACAGCGTGTACAGTGCGACTACGGAGGAAGACGAGTCAAACTGCTTGTCATGGTTGAAGTATGGAATATTTGCAACCAACATAGTTCTTCTGGTAAGCGATTTTGCATGTTTGTGCGAGAGCTTTGTAGAGGTGTCTGCTTTTTGAAGAAATTTTGAGCAATAGATGGCCTTCTGGCGAGAATAAGTTAATAGAAGGGACCCTGAAGGGCGTATTTTATACACTTTTATCGACTATCGACCTTTGGTTGTGTCTAAAATTTTGGCAAATCGTTATGGCACAACATAATTTTGGTCTCATAGATACGGAAACTCTTTATTTCTGTTCCCTTCACTCTGAGGAAGCATCACTTTGTTCATTTGATATATTTAAAATGTTATCAAGTAAATTTTCCTTAGGTGGTGGGTGGCCCGTTATTGGCTATGGGAGTATGGTTACGGACGGATAGCAGATTCAGAGACTTCGTCAGTGAAAGGTGAGCATTTAGTAATGACTCCTGCCATTCGAATCTTCGTATTTTGTTTAGAACGTTCCCAAGGGCCGTTATCCTTGTTTAGGTACCGCCAAGCTGTAGGAGAAGCTTTTTGGGAAGCTCCAACTTTATATGCATTCTCGTATATAATAATCGTACTAGGCTGCTGCATGATTGTTATATCATTCTTTGGTAAGGGAAGATATTAAGTAATTAAATGTTTCCCACATTCCACAAATTAGTAATCTTTTGCTATCATTATCTATCATGATTTTATTTATTGTTCTTTTTTTCTATACGGAAAGTAGTCTCCAATGTTTTAATGTTCACAAACGACTTACCTTGTCATGTTCGATTATATTATTTCTATTAAGGTTGCTGTGCCGGTAATGACGGCAGTCGAGTTCTGCTCATATTATATTCTGTAGCGCTGTTTCTACTTCTCATAGCAGTTTTGAGCTGTGGAATATATCTATTCTATAAGAGAGATTCGGTTAGTCCGCGTTTTGCTTTTCAGGGGAGCAAGAGGCAGACGCATGTATTCCATCCGTGCAGGGTCTCTTCATCAAAAAGTAGCAATATTCAGGTCGATGTTGAATTATCGGATGCCTTGAACTATATGGTTCAACACTATTATCAAGGTCCAGGTATTGTGCAGGAGTCTCTCGATCATCTGCAGACTACTTTCCGTTGTTGTGGTTAGTTTTCGTTGAATTGAATCAGAATCCATACATTCAACTTGTTCAATTCGAAATGAGTCTATCCTATCATGAGCTTCCATTATTTTCCCAATATTTGTTTGAAGGAAATGCTGGATGCGCTGACTTTCGCGTATTTCGACAAGATCCACCTCGCTCTTGTGACATCAGATGTGACGGATGCCACTACCGGTGGTTAATCATTTTTATTTTTTCTCTATTCTTGAAAAAGTGATGTTTTTTAGAATTTGGGTCGCCCTCAGTATTGGTCTCTCTATAACGTTAATAGTTTTCTTTGCTGTCATCGTGTCTATCATTCTAGCGTTAGTGTTCTCCCTTTACCTCATCTTCACCCGTCCTAAGGAAATTCGTGTGGTAAGCCATCTATGACTGTTGTTTTAGACGCTTTTACATTTTAAACTTCATTTATCCACTTTTCTTTAGCAGTATACTTCTGTGGAACAGGTTTTTTTGCTTCCTGTCTGGGAATGTCCATATCTTTCCAGCAAAACAGTATTATATAGCTGAATTAATCTCAAAGCACTTCGCAGTTTACCCAAAATATATTTAGAGCGCTAGGAATTATACCCAGAAAAGAAATTACATACAGAGTACTGGAATTGTTAGTCTGCCTAATTCTTTGCTGTAGCGCACCCTAACTCTCGCTAATTCGCCTTTTACTATCGGGTGGCTAGTTCTTAATGCATGACAGAAGTTAATGTGTGGCAATGTTCGGAGTGAAACCTTCAAAACGCCTTGGTTATTTACTAACTTTCGGCAGTTGGCCGTATTCAAACCCTAGGGTGTCGTTATTGACGTTAAGAAGGAATGACGATGAGAGCGTTTTCTAATGACATACTACAAAGCGAAGAATCGTTTCTGTGGGAGTAGTGCTACCGCTGAAAGGTTAAGACCTCTCGCATCCATTTTTTTTACTATTGGCTACTTATAATCTTGTAATCCTTTTTTGCCGATTCCAACAACTTCGCTTCTGTATCTTTACATGAATATTTAAGAGTTCAATGCTTTCTAGTATCGTTTTTTGAATTTGTTCAGTTTCGAAAGGAAACTTAATCTCTAGGTCAACATGGTGGACAGGAGAGTGGCGAGACCGACCCTAAAAAAAGAGGCGCTTCAGCGTCACAACCTATCTTATGGCTTGCGGAAATAGTCAAAAATCTGCTTGATCTTCTTCGACTTCTTACTTAATTTTTTTAGTTGAAACTCGTTTTACTTTTTTTTAACGATTTAATGCATTTTATTCAAGCATCTCGATGTGAGCTCAATTTTCGTGACACTTTACTGTTTCACTTAAAATATCCTAATTCGCTTTTATTTTTGTTCACTCCTAGTAACTGCTTATAGTTTTTGTGAAATTGATGAGGTTATTTCCGGTCTCAGCATTTATCGTTGTGATGATAACACTTGAGATAATGAACTATATGCAATACGAAGTGCAGTTCTGATTGGCCTCACAAGTAACAAAAAAGAATGGAAAATGAAAAGTAAAATTTAACTTTACGTCGAGGATATATGTATCATGTTCTGATGTTAAGGAGTAGAATTACGAGCTGAGGGCTATGCTGTTATCACATTTCTATGCAGCGAAAAGGTTTTATTGGAAAGCTTGACTTCGCAGAAAAAACGATAACTGACCTTACCGAAACGATAGAGTAGTTTTGGCTACCTGGTTTTCGAGTAAACTTGATTTTTATGTAGAACAGGAGCCTCATATTTGGAATTCTCTAATGTAGGATTAAATAAGAATGTAGGATTTGAGGTACTTCTGTAACTTTTTGTGGCAATTGTCATTTTTCTCTAATCCATCCACTTTGGTACTTTCCAATACCAACAAATGCATATTTCATTGCAATCTTTATTTTTATTATTTCCACATTCATCGTCGCTGAGGTATAAATAAACAAAAAAATGTAACAGATTCATAAGAGCAATATAAATAAGAAAAGGAGAACGAATGAAAGATCATATCGTTTGGCCGAGTTGCAAAAGTCTCGCCCTGAACATAAACAGAGCTTTTCGCCTGTCGATAGCTCTGTTCGACATCCTTCCGGATGATAAGCGTGAATAAGAGAATCATGGGGTAGGCAAGTCATTGCCGTTGTCACGCCTCGAATCGGGTGCTGCCTGAAAGTGATATTCTCGAGCTGAAAAGCCTCCTGTAAGCATTCAGGGCAGTGATTCAGTGGAGACAGGTCGGTACTCGTGACTCTACTATAACTACCTCTTCCTATTATCAGTACTCGATGTGTAGTAGCTGGATTCGATCCAGGATTCTCAGGTCCTGGATCCAATCCCACGCTCGTCATAACTCATTTACTAGTTAGAGTGGGGCTCATACAGTTTTAAAAGACAGGAACGAGGACTAAAGAAGTTACCTTTGTACACGAAGGCATGCCGCACCCTCACAAAATGAGCAGGTTGAATCGCAGTCGCTGCCGTCGACACACCATAAGCAGAGACCTAAAAATACGTTATTTTCCAAGCAAATATTGATTTTGAAAAAAAAAGGACAATATCAAAATGTTCAATCAATCAAAGCCACTTCGATCAACGGGCTTGTTGCTGCCTACGTTTTTAGCGATAAAGTAGAAGAACAAAGCTGATTGTTCCAAGACAAGCAGATATACAGCCCAGAGGTGATCTCACAACAAAAAAATCCCAGGTCGAAGGGGGCAGTTAAAATGATACTCATACTGCTAGAGGTCTTTCCGGACTGTCTGACCGCTATACATGTTTTTGGATGGCCTCCATGATATTCACCTTCCAGAGTTGTTAACCCAGTAAATCCTTCTGAAGTCAACAGTCATGAAAAGGGACAACATACCTAGAACCAGCATGAAGAACCCTTTCGAATGGCATGTAAGCCTACCCAGCCCAGGATCTTCCCCTTTAAATTCGTTACAGTAATCGCCTTTTTTCTGAGCTCGTGGGCAACGGAGACCAAACTTAATCTTGAGAACACTATACTCGTAAGGCGCTATAGATCGAGCGGAAGCCATTCACGGGTTTTTTCGGATAGTCGGGTTGTTTTAGAGTGGAAATGCTGATGCTACTTCCGATTATGTAGATTGCTTGCACATCATCACTCCTTAGATGGTGTAGTATAGTGACTTTTTTTGATGTCGACAGGAACATGCTTTTGTTAGATCGGTGTACATGCCTAAGCCTAACACATCTACAATCTGTAATGGTAGTAAATGAGTGTTGAAGGCATGGCGTATCAATGCAGAATTGATCATTGCAGATATTTTGACCATTTGTGAGACATGCTGTTGGTAATCCAAATTGAATTTCAGTATAACATTCGTAAATGGTCAGTTAAGGGAATCAGTTGATAAACAAGTTAGTATTAGGATCTGAAGAAGTTAAAATGTGCAAAAGGAAAATGAATCGGAGAATAGCTGATTCCATTCTTCTGCAGTACCCCTAAGCTACTCACTTTTCGATACCATAATGAGAAGAAGGGCGACGAGTCTCATCGGAGNTGTTGAAGGCATGGCGTATCAATGCAGAATTGATCATTGCAGATATTTTGACCATCTGTGAGACATGCTGTTGGTAATCCAAATTGAATTTCAGTATAACTTTCGTAAATGGTCAGTTAAGGGAATCAGTTGAAAAACAAGTTAGTATTAGGATCTGAAGAAGTTAAAATGTGCAAAAGGAAAATGAATCGGAGAACAGCTGATTCCATTCTTCTGCAGTACCCCTGAGCTACTTACTTTTCGATACCATAATGAGAAGAAGGGCGACGAGTCTCATCGGAGCATTGCGAGCGGAAATTGAGCTCCACCGAAACGCTAACGTCGTCGGCGGCCACCACGAGTTCAGATGAAGTTGTGGCTGAAAGGAATCACAAGGAATTCAGAGGAAAACAAAGCTCAGTAAACTTCGTCGAACGATGAGGATGAGGTAAGCCTCATTCAGTCGAAAACTCAGATATACCCTATAGATAACGCCGGTAAGCAAAATGACACCGGTAACAGGGAGTAGGAACAAATACAAAGCAATGGCGAAATCGTAAACAATGTTGGAACATGCAACACCTTGCTTTCTGCCTCTGAACAGACCATGACGTTCTATCAGAAACTTGAGGGAATCATGTAATTTTTGATTCTTTTTTCTCAAGGACAGCGAGGGCATGATAAAATGGGTGATACTGCGAGTCAAATTGACTCTCTGCTGTGTATCCTTGAATATAAGGGGAAAATTATCAGAAACCCGTGAAAATTTCGAGAAAGCGTCATTCTAACAATGGCGAAGATGCAGTAAATGTTTGGTTCGGGAGCCAAGTGGACTTATAGGTAAAAAAAATTAGGGAGAAAATGTCTACTTAAGGAGACTTTCAGAGAGATTTCCAAAAAGTCTGAAAAAATAGAGTGAAAAAAATTGAAAGAAAGAGAAAAAAATTGAAAAAAAACTAACAAGATAAGTTGATATTCGCCGATATGGAGTAAATTTTTTGAGGCTATTCGTTTTTTTTGGTCTTGATTTCAGGGGGAACATCTGAGCGAAAGGATCTTTAGTCATTGTTGAAACTGGAGCTTTGAAAAAAATGAGAAAAAAAAAACTTCGGAAAGGAAGCGTTTTAGTTAAAAATAGTTCGAGTTGATGAAAAAAACCTCACTACCCACCTCCTTATTCAGAACTGAAGAAATTTAGATGTTAATGATGCCATGTAGTCGGAATCTAATCCATTTTGTTCCCCATCAGGTCAACTGCCTATGATCAGGCCCTTATGGTAGAGCAATAAAAAGCGGCGCTGCTGCTTTATGTCGAATTCCACATTTTAAGAATCCAAGCCTAGCTGCCAAACCCACTATTTCTCCTTATTCAAAACTTTGGAGCCCTTTTCGAGTCTGCATGTACTGATCGGTGATTTAACTAGCCATTCAATGGGATAATTGTTCAGTAAATGTTATATTCATGGCGCATTCCAATAAGCTATTCGACCAAATCCATCAGAACCTTCGTTCTAAATAATATTCGAAACAAAGAGCGGTAAAACAGATAGAAGATTATTTTTTTCAGTTTTTTTTTATGTTTTTTTTGTAGATAATAAGCAGTAGTAGTGATAGTAGTAGTATTAGT